CTTCCATTGGAACGTCGCGTTGGCGTGGCACCGGCGGGTTCACTCTTATAATTCATGTCGAGAGACGTGGTTGTAAACTCCTTCAACCTGATGATGAGCTATACGCTTTTTTTTTTTTTTTTTCAATGGATACCAGGGACTGGAGGAGTTCCCTCCTGAGTACTGCAGCTGAGCTGTACAGCTTATTGTACTTTATCCCCGGCTCCATATTTTGGGGGAGGGCTCGCAACACAAATGTGAACTTGAGCCCCCGTTGTACCGGTGTTCTTCCATCGAAGAAACTCATTTTTGAAGGGGGTTGGGACCAAATTCAGGGTCGCTGAGATCCGATCCCGCCCCTTCCATTGATGAGTGCCGTGTCAATTTCTTTCAATTGCGGCCACCGGTCCCCTTAGGCGTCAGAAAAATCCAGAGGCGACGGTGGGGATCGAACCCACGACCGCGGGATCTAATAGCCGAGCTATACGCTTAAAACCCGGATCATTAAAAACAACTAACTGTGAGTAGGAACTATCTTTTTAAAAAGATTAATCAACAACGTCGACGCCCTTTATGCTTTAATACTGAATAACAACATCACCTTCTCGATTGTCTTGATCCCTAGAAAAAGTAACTGACTTTTGTTGAAGATTATGTGTACGTAATTGCTACAAGCCTGTGAAATTCGAATCTCTTACAATTGATGGCTAATGTATCGGCATCCTCTATAAAAATGGTCATAAAAATAATAATATTATAATTGTTTACATTAATAATCGGGAAATATGCTAACATGAAAAAAAAACACTACAATTGAAAGAGTAGCTATGAAACTAAAACCTTACTTTTGCCAAGCGTGTTTCAGGGGAAGTAAAAAAATTTGTTTAAAAATGAAGTAGCAAGGTTGTAGTGAAAACAGATGTAGTTCGATTTAGAAAACACTTATGATAAAGGCGGAAGAGCCACATTTTAATTCGGAAGAGGTGTGACGTTTTGAAAAAGAATGTACGCATGAAACCAAAATTAAAATAATAATATGGGTTGGAATTTCTAATAATTAATAGATTTATGTTAATAAATTAATGTCATTTATGAGTGTAAAAAGTTTATTTTTTGATTTATGCTGCTGTCTTCATAAAATATGAAATGGGTTTTAGTTCAATTTCATGATGGCCAACATGGAAGGAAAAAAATAGTCTATTTAATTATGTTTGTTCACATTGTTTGGTGTTCTCATGTCACGTCGTTCAAACTTCCACTTTTTTATGAACACCAGCTTATACGACTGTAAATTATAAATAGCGTGGTAATTAGCGACCGTTAATCGATAATTATTCAGAAATCGTGTGATATTGCTAGAATTATTGTTTACAAGTTTTTAGATTTTTTTTAATGATATGACTTGTAAAAGTTGATGTTTTCATTCGATTTTCATTTATGAGTTCTACAGCAGGTTTTCAGTTATATTAATATAATGTTTGAGCAAAAAAGATTATATATATATTGTGTAGGTGAGAATATAAATATTTCATATTCTAGTTTAATATTTTGTTCACGACGTTTTGTAAGTATAGCTCTTACAAATATGTTTGACACACAAAGTATGAATAAATCGTTATTAGTGTGTTTAATTATTTTCGCGTGCCTAGCCATACAAGCCCATTCAATATTCACGCCATACACTTTTATCTTCCCCTTAATTTTTTTGAAGCATGTTTAATTAATTTTTTCTGCACTTGACTCGCATTACCTTTCTCCTGCGACTTCTTGAATAAAAGAAAGGCGTTCATAATTTGTTTAGGGTAGTAACGACTCCAGCTTTTGGCGGCTGCGTTACAGTAAACAATAACCGGGCCACAGCGGTAGAAGAAGTACAGATATTAATGCACCCTTCCCATGCCCGCCATTACATTATACGGCTAGGTCTGTGCTTGTAATAATGTATAAATCTGCCACTTGCTACCACATGCGATTTACAAGGGATTAAAACGGTACAAAAGTAACCCATACTCGAGCGGTTGATTTGGTTCAAGTGGGCCGGTACCTTTATCTATCTTTCTTATCTTGGTTGTTAACAATAACCTTTATATGGCAATAACCTTTTTTTTTTAAATTTCATTTCTATTCTGCGAGTGTATATCCCTTCTTATTTCCTCATTTTATATAAATATGTTTTATCTTATGTATTGGTTTGGTAAAATTGCCCAACAACAAAAAAAAAAAAAAAAAAAAAAAAAAAAAAAAAAAAAATCCTTCAGTATTAGGGGGTACGGTATAAAGAGAAAGACAGGAAGCAGGGGGAGAAAGTAAGAAAAGGCGATTGGGAAGAATGAAAAATAGTGAGAGTGCGCAAAAGAGGGTGTTCCATTGAAGGTTGAAATATTATTACATTCTTTGGCAATGTTAGTACTGAGTCGGTATTCAAGTAAATTTGAGATCGCCAGTAAAAAACATATTCAAGATTGTTTTGCCCGATGATTATCTTAAAATAGTTGGAAAGCTTGGCAATTACAACTGAATTTGCTTTTTTTACGCCAGAAGACCTTACCCTCTAACCTTGACAAAAGAGGCTGTAGAAGTGAAGAGAGAGAGAAAGAGAGAGTATATATATATATATATATATATATATATATATATAGAGAGAGAGAGAGAGAGAGAGAGAGAATGGAGAGAATGAGTGTGTGAATTATAGGATCAGAAAAAAGAATCGGAGTGAATGTGTGTATAAGTAAGTAAAAGAAGGGTTAAAAGTAAATATAGAGTGGGAGTAAGAGATGATTGAGTGTGTAGAAACGAGAGTAGTGAGAAATTGGGAGAGGAAGAAACAGATATACTGAGCGAGCAGTCGAATTATGTGGACGTTTCGAACCAAATAAACCGCGATTTAATAATTAAAAGTGTCCTTTCTCAAGTCAATTTTTGTACTTGCGTGCAAAAAAATTAAATTAATTTAAAAATAAAAATAAAACGTATTTTATCAAGTGTGAGTCTAAGTGTAATAAATTAAAAAAAACACCTTTGGTGTAAAATAAAAGTTTAAGTTTTCTAGTAAAATGTAATTATTTGACATAACAGTGATAATGGTAACATATATGTGAGAGAAGACAGAACATCTGCATGTTGGTTAGGTATGATTTATTTCTGCCCCCTTGCAATAATAATTGCATAAATTCTACGAGTTACCGAACTGTTAATGACAGTTTTCTCATTGTTCATTTCCTGTGTTTATATCATCGTTGTTTGTCTGTTGTTACGAGTTATTCTCCTGGGTGGAATAAAAATATGACTGACTAACCCATCCCCTTAATAGAAATCATAAAGGTGGGTGAGAATGTATGTCCATTAACTTTTTGCGAATGGTGAGTAGAACCATCATTCATAACAAGTGAACCATCCCCTAGGTTGTTTTTATAATAAAATAATGTTTTCATAATCTTATTGACGCTTTGTTAGTTGTAATGTATGTTGTAATGTAATGTATTTTTTACTAAAAAGCTGCGGATGTTAATATACATATTTTTTTTAAAATGGTGCAGAAGAAACCTTTGATGGTGTATTTACAAATTTATCTTACATATAAAACAGTTCCGTAACAGACTGACAGACAACGCACAGATTCCAAACCGCTGGATCTAAAGGGATGAAATTTCGACAGTGCATTCCTTTAATGACATGTATAGCCGCTAAGAAATTCCTAACGAGACCATATGGACAATTTTTTACCATGTATCCCCCCCCATGTAAGTGAACTGAAGAAGAGAAGAATTTAAGAAACGAGGCATTATATTAGAATGCTATAATAGCTCTTTGCATGCATTAGAAAGGTACATCATAGAGTTGCTACGAATTCCCGGATTCGCTAGTTCTATTATAAAAAACATGTTTTTTCTCAGGTAAAAGTTATTCTAAAATTCTAAATTTTATTTTTGGTATTTGGTTTTTAATTTTTTGTATTTGAAGAAATCAAATTAAATCTTTAAAGGAAATCATTAGTCTGACAAATGACTGATGTCAAATTTACGACAAGTGACTTACAATTGTGTGTAATTTGATCATTATTCTGGGTCCAAAAATTGTCATTGATGTACAGGACTACTACTAATAATTCTAGTAATACTAGATAATTATATGGATCAACCATTGCACGTCTGTACTTCTGAGAAATGGGATTAGCTCAGGAGGGAAAAAACGGACTTGTTATTACATCGGACTGAATAGAAGTGTTTTTTAAAGGGATGAGGTAAGTTTTAAAAGGGTGGTCTTTGAAGGGTTGCGTCCGCCCTATAAAGGCTTTCTCCTTGACCCCCTCCTCTTTAGAAAATTACTGCCGGAACTGACCGGTCTGTCGAAGTTATGAGAGTTCTTTATTTCTTGCTAGTTGCTGTTGGATAAACGGAATCCGTGAAGGTTGTACGTCACTTGCTGTGATAAGTTTCTGTTGGCTCCACGCTCATCAGGCCTGGTGAATCCCAGGATTTAGGCGGCCCTTCTTTGGCCGCAATCCCTTCGACAAATTGGGCACGAACTCCATCCGGACTCTGTAACGAAATTGACATTTTTTTACATTTGCTTTATCTCCCTAGGTTTAATACTTTCCTCGCTTCGCATCATTATCCACGACGTATTCAAATTTAAGAGGATTAACTAGATACCTGATAAATAATATTTTAATTTTGTTGATTTACCTGTCTGAGTTTATCGTGTAGTTTGGATTTCCCCTCGTAATGGAGCCATCTCTTTCTGTCCATGACGCCTGAAAATAAAATTTATTGAATTTACAATACTAATTCATTTTATGCTATTTGTTTGGTGAAAATACCTTTTCCTGATATTCCTCTAGGTAAATATTATCATAATAAAATAAATAATGTTTCTAAAGTATTATAACTTGAGCTCCTGTGTCAAATTGTCATTCATCTGTCCAATTGAAGTTAAGCCTTCTAGAACTTCCCACGTTTTCTTTGAATTAATTTGAAATTAAAAGTCAATACATTTATATTTTTGTTAATTTTTTGTTGTAGCTGCCTGTGATTGCTGGTTTTGCTGCACGGAACGTCGGTGTCGCCGCTTTATTAACGCTCTGCTGATTCGAAAAAAAATAATACTTTGATTTTGACAACATTTGATTAGGATAATTTTTTTATAAGCCTCGATACGCGTAGAATTTTGACTGCAGATTGAATCACCTGCAGAACTGTTAGATCAAGTATTTTAATCCTTTTAATTTTTGGTTTCCAGAAGATATGGGAACGTATGTGCGGCCTCTTCATCAACTGCTGTGCCGAATCGAAGAAGATTACTTGAGTTTGACCAATTTTTTTATAAGCCTTGATATGCGTAGGGTTTTGTACTTTGATTGCAGATTGAATCACCTGCGGAAGTGCTGGAACTGTTATCGTTTAGGCCTTTCAATATTTTAGTTTCTAGAAGATATGGGAACGTATGTGTTGCCTCTTCATGAACTGCCGTGCCGAATCGAAGAAGATTACTTGAGTTTGACCAAATTTTTTATAAGCCTTGATATGCGTAGGGTTTTGTACTTTGATTGCAGATTGAATCACCTGCGGAAGTGCTGGAACTGTTAACATTTAGGCCTTTCAATATTTTAGTTTCTAGAAGACATGGGAACGTTTGTGCTGCCTCTTCATCAACTGCTTCACCATCTTGCATCAACTCGAAGAAGACTACCGAATAATACTTTGAATTTGTCCAAACAACAATGTATTTTTCAGGAGAACTATTTTGTAAAGCCTTGATATGCGTAGGGTTTTTTATTTTGATTTCAGATTGGATCAGCTGCAGTAGACCTGACGTTTAGGCCATTTGTTGTTTTATTTTCAGAAGATATGGGATATAAAATAAGTTGACATTCCGACTGATGTTTGACCGACAGTCTAACGTTTTCTTTCATGCCTGACGTATAAGTGTTTAATTTGTTTGCAGGTTGATGCAGTGGCCCTTCGACGAAATGACTAAAGCGTTGCGTTAATTAATGTTCTCTTGGTTTTCAATGTTTTCAGAAGACGAGGGGGATGTAAATGGAGAAATGAAAAGCTACCGTTTTGCTTGATTTTGACCAGAATCGGTTTTTAGCTTTCGGGTGATATATGTTGCTAATGTATTTTTACAGTTAGAAATGGTTATTCCTGCGTACCAATGGCTTTAGCGGAGGGGCTTACCATAAAACAAAACACGGCTGTGAAGCAAATCCAATACACCACCAAAGGAGTCGAAGTAACTGCGACCAAAGCACGAGGATCAGGAAATACCGTGACATACACAGGTACGTTGGATTTTTGTAATCTGTTATATTATTTTAATGCTTTTGTGTTTCAGGAGATGTCGTCTTGTGCACTCTACCCCTTGGAGTTCTTAAACAGGCCGTGTCCGTAAACCCTCAGGCTCTTCCAAATACGGTTCAATTCGTTCCGCCACTGCCCGATTGGAAAGTATCCGCCATACAGAGGCTTGGCTTCGGAAACTTGAACAAAGTTGTCCTCTGTTTCGAAAAGCAGTTTTGGGATCCTGCTTCTAACCTGTTTGGCCATGTCGGTAGCACGACTGCCAGTCGAGGTAATTCTCGAAACACACAAAAACGTAAATTTGATGTTAAATTTAATTTTGATTTTTTCCAGGCGAGCTGTTCTTATTCTGGAATATATACAAATCTCCTGTCCTTCTGGCATTGGTGGCAGGAGAAGCAGCCGCCATCATGGAGGAAGTAAGTGATGACGTTATAGTCGGGAGGTGCATCGCAGTCCTCAAGGGAATATTCGGCAACGGGAACGTTCCACAGGTAATTAATTTTAAATTTAAATTTCAATATGCATGGACAAATATTTTTTTCTTTAAGCCGAAAGATACTGTCGTCACTCGATGGAGGGTCGACCAATGGGCGAGAGGATCCTATTCGTTTGTGGCAGTCGGTGCTTCCGGATCTGACTACGATGTACTTGCCGCACCAGTTTTTCCTCAGCCACCAACGCCTAAAAATAAAATTATTCCAAGACTTTTCTTTGCGGGTAAGCCAATAATGTACAATACACAATTCTTTATGTTCGTTTTGCAACATTTCTGTTTTAAATAGAAGAGAAAGATTCAGCAATAAACCTTCATCATTGCTCACTGTACACTTCGAGCAGAGAAACTAACATTCCTCATAACATCATAACATTTAAAATTATCGATGAGGTATTGTTGTTAATAGAAAATAATATTATCATTCAAGATATACGTAGCCATAGTTTAGCCAGATGCTTAATCTCTGCTCACCACACTTTCAACGTGAATAAAGGTGGACCCAGGATCGAAAAAAATCGTGGAACGAGGATCGGACCATATGTTGGATGTGGTAGAAGATCGATCCCATCAAGATTTACTAACATTAACTTGGTCCGACGAGTAGTGGACAAAGGAAGGTGGAGAAGGAGTAAACTCTTGACGAATAAATCTATCATAGTACCTACCAAAAAACGCACAACAGTTTTTTCCTCCTGTCCAAATGCGGCAACTAGTAAAGCTATTCCACGATTACCAATATTTTATTAGAACAACGTTTTATCTATACATTATTCGTGGATTGCAAAGGTGTAAGTTTATGCGGGACCAGTCTACAGCACTATTTCATCGTCCCATTTCGTGCATACAGCGCCCAATAATGTCATTTGACACTGCATTTCCTGGCTTGTACCTTTAGTATTTGTAACTCTCTTTGATCCTATATCTGCATGTAGAACCTCATTAATAGCATACATGGTCGCTCTGAGTCTTCTTCCTTTGCTAGGACGTGTCATTATTGTTATAATTACCAATGCGTTGGGTTTGTCATAGTCCATTACCCTCTTCAACGAGGGGTTTGCTATAGCAGAGATGGCATCACCCCTGGGGTTCTGTTGTTTGGAGATATTGGTTCTAACTCACCGCTCCTACTTGAACTAAGGACCTTTTCTATTCAAATATACTAAAATTTGAACTAAGGACCATTCCAGTGTTGAGTTACCGTGTCCAAGCGTGAATGTAACGGCCACACGCTCGGACAAAAAGAGCCGCTCATACGGTTTGTATGAAAACTAATTTTATGTAGAACATGATTTGATTGTCAGTTGCGATCTGTCATTTCTAAATTATTTAAATTCTACAATATTGATTGTATTGGATGTGGCAAGTACAAAAATTCCTTGCAAGATGAGCGTACAATTCTCGTATTTGACACGTATCACCTCGTTACGATGCCGAAGTTATCTTTGAAATTTTCTTTGATCATTTGAATATATAATTCGTAACGGTATTGTAAAGTTTCCTTGCCCACAATAACAAATAGTTACACGTTTTTTCGACTTATTATACTACTATTTAACAACAGTATTAACTCACTCAATTGCAATATTGTTGCCGTAATAAAGTTGTTGCCATGTCTGAAAGACCATTTAGATTCCTAGGAGAGTGTGCTGCAAAAAAGCATTTATCGAGTGAGGGGGACGATAAACCATCGTTGCTGTACACAAAGCTTACACGAAATCATATATAAACATTAAGATCAATCAAAACTGAAAAAAGGACTTGGGATAAAGTTGAAACGGTTGGATGGCGAGTTTAAACTGCTCTCACTTGTTACTTTCGGTAACATTATTATCTTTATTATATTAGATCTCATCTCCATAATCAATGTTAACCATCCCTAAAAATTACGATTTTTATTTCGTGAACTTTGCATTTATTAATGTTAGATATTTCTATGTTACACGTTACAGTGCAATAACCAATGATATCTAGTTAGTTGTATTTTTTTGCTGGTAGACCTGGTGTAATTGTTTTTTGCCATTATAATCTTTCTGAGTTTAGGGTCTCCGCACGTAGTTTTCGTTCATGCCTACTTGAGGAAATGTCATTTGCTGTTAATCCATTCGATGATCTGTAAAAATCCTTTCAGATGAACGATTACACAGTGGGCGAGTTACGCATTCAACCAAGTTCCTATTGATTCCGTCGACTTTTCAAACAGCAGGGTGGTAATTGGGCAAAAACCGCTTCCCTTAAAACTCGAATTTATCAAATTATTTAGGTTTTTCATTCTGACGTCTTGCTTGTGAACTCGTGGAACGAATTGCAAGTCTGAAAGGTTGAAGAGTGGTAGGTTCAAAACGAATCTCCACGTCGTATCAAGTGAAAATTACCTGATAAGTCATGCGAGTTGATCTGTCCAATTAGCGACCTGGAGTTGGCACTGACGGCTCGTAACTCCACTTCTCAGTACCTAATGAAGTACTCGATTATTTATCGAACCATTTGTGTAGTAAAATATTGTAGGTGTAACTTGTCAAACCAAAAAATAAACTGTTATCTTTTTACGAACGGTTTTTAATTGGTATGAGTTTGGAATGGACAAAATACTAAAATTGCCTTTTTAGACTCATGCAATCAATACTAATAGGCCGTAGCCTCCCTTACGTGGCAGACTAAAAGTTCTGGTAGTATGGAAAATATATATTGAAGTACTGATCGAATTTATGGTCAAGGTACCTTGGTTATGGTGACTATGACAACCTAGGTCACTCCTTCAATACATTTACAACGTTTGGTCAAACCTATCAAGAACTTTGTATGAAAAATGTATTGTAAAGTGGTTTAGCCCTTCGTATGCGACACCCAGCGGTTTGTTGGACGTTAAGGTCTCCTGTATGTCAGGAATTACTTTATATTAATGTACAATATTAAAGTCAATATAATTTTGTATGTCATAACTGATTGAACTAGGTAAACCAGTTTTTGTTTGTAAAATTAAATACTTACCTAATTAATGAATCTTAATAATGAAATAGTTAATAGAAGTCTTTAATTAAAAAAAGAGTAAGATGACAAGCTTAAGACAGAGATAAGGGTATGTACACTCACTGACTTCGTCGAAAATTTAATTAAGTTGGAACTGGCCAAACCCAAATCACGACGTGCTCAGTACACCTGCGACTTCCATTTTATATGAACGAAGTTTTTCGTGTTAAAACTTTTTAGGTTAGTGTACCAGTCCATAGTTTCAGATACACATAATCCTATGATCCTAGATGTATGCTTCGGGGTGTGTAGTACACTGCGACCTTTCAGAGCTATTGTATCCCCAAATTTCAGTGGTTGAATTTCCATTCTTATGGTAAGATGAATAAAGAATTTGGGCATCGGCTTTCTTCCAGTTGAAGTTGTAGGCTTCGTCATAACAAAAATGTTAATTAAATTTTGTTTGTTAGTTAAATCAAAGCGGGGCTATTCTGGTAACATACTTATATAGGGTTTGCGCGAAGTACGACGTGGAGGTGAGTTTTTGCTCTCAACGTCATCTGTATTCAGGCCGTGTTGCCTCCTTTGATCACAGCTCCTCTAATGCGGTCCTCGTTACACCTCCCCTTCCCAACTATATTCTTACCCTCATGAATTCTTCAAATAGAAATACTTTCACCGGCGACCCCTCCCCTTCATCATTTGTTCTTGGTCGAGGGACAATATAGAGAATTGCCTCACTTACCCTTCGCGCATAGGGTGGCCGGGATTGTTCATTCTCTCCTAACCCCTCTTCGGGTATTCAGCATCTTGAAGAAATTGGGAATTTATCGATTAGCCAAGCCCTTTGTGATGCCGGAGCGAAAAAGGGGAGTTCTATGGGAAAGCAGAACTGTCTAGTCAGCTGGCCGGCACCGACAACTGACTATTTACGCCGGCAAAAATCGCCTTTAATTGCTCATTTTCTCCAAAATGTCTCGTTTTGACAAAGTTACTACGATTTCTCTGTCAGTTGACAATTGAATTATTGTGTACGTTTCAGGTTTTAGTTCAACCAAATGCTACATTACAATCCAGTGTTGGTGTTAGTTAAAAAAATAAAATTTTGAAGAACTTATAAAAACCATAAAATCGCCAAGATAAGCCTTGATTTATTCCATCTTCTTCTAAGCTGAAATCATACTTTTGTAATTTTATTTATTTTTTTCCCCCTAAAAATTTAATTTATAAAAAAGTAAAATAAGAAAAGTAAAAACTTCCAGTTTGTAGAAAAAAAATTGTTTCTTACAAAATATAAATTATAAATATGTCCTTAGATTTTAATTAATAACGTAAATACCATATTGTTTGATTATATATTATCTTCTTTAAAAAACAAATTAATTTTCGTATTGATAATAGTAAAAACGGTTTGTTGGCTCACTGAGAACTAAAATTGAAGAAGAATACAAGAATTCCACAATCCATTTTAAAACTGCCTTTTTGTAGAAAAAATCGAAACCTCCGGTGTTTATTCTTCAAGCTCCAGTGTACGGTCCCTTTTTTCTTCGTTTGAGAACGGATAAGGTCTAATCCGTTGCGTTGTTCATTTTATTGTTCTGTAACACTTTAACTATGATGTAAAAAGCAGTTAAAACAAAGGAAGAGGGAAAAGTCATTGTAATTTCATTACAGTAATTAGCATTTAAAATTAACTTTAAATGGATACTACATAAAAACACAAAAACCATTAATCAATAAGATATTGATACAAGTGTATACTTTCCTTGTTGCTACCTTCTGGATAAAATATTGGAAACTGTTTTTGTTTGACGTCGCTGAGTTTGTTTATCCAGGGACAGCGCTTTAGCCCAAATTCGATTTATTTCTTGTTATTCCTTCCTCAAACGAAACAAAAGATAGGTCAACACCCCTCAAGCTGTTTATTCGGTGGGCCATAGGACACACTGGTGGGAGAGAAAGTGCACCCACATGATGGGCAGCATGGAGGAAAAATAAATTGGAAAAATAATGTGTTTTTCGAAAGCGGGCTATCGGAAACCGTGATATTTTCGTTTGTCGCAAAACTCAGCCTAAGAAAATGCCCTAAAACATTCAGTCCTATGTACAAAAAACAATAATAAAATCGTTTCCCTCAAAACTGATCATTTAGTGTTTTATATTGAAGTATCTCTTTGCTTCCGAACAATTTCTCTGGTCAATTCCCTGTAACCGGCAAAACTCCTAAATCATGAGACCAATTTCATCTCAAATAAACGGTATCGCCTGTGCATGCATAAACTTAAAATCATGTACACATCTATATCTCTGGAACCCTTTGTCGGTTTCTTATGCAATTTTCAGGGATTAAGTGGGTTGCTTTCTAGATGATCCCCTATGAATTTTATACCAATCGGATTTATGCGAATGCGCATGCACAAAGTGTGAGGAAGCTATACTGCCCACCCACTTTGCAGACATTTTAAAGGTCGTCTTTCCTTAGGATTTAGAATTAAATGTAGACCTAAGTTTCCTCGGAGGATTATCCTTTGATAATACCTTCCTCTTCCATTAAAAATATTTCTGGTTGAACGGTTCATTATACAATTTCATAATGAAATAGCTTAAATGCACACAGCCCTTCCCTAAACGTGATATCAAAGAGTAAATATTTAAAGAATAAGACATAAATAAATCGTTCGAAATTATTTTTACTTACAGACTTTTGTATTTATTCAGTTGGTACTACTTTGGGATGAAATTTACCCGAAAATATATTTAAATACGTTCCCTTTTTAATGTGGTTGCTATCTGTACCAACAATTCGAAAACAGCAATCTATTTCATTTACAGTTTTAGATGTCAAGTTACTCTACCCCTAGTTTCTACCTATAGACATTGTACACTAACCCAACTCTTAATCATAGCGCTATATCATAAGTTTGTAGATATAACAGAAATGTTGCAAACCAATAATTCAGACCTATCCATTATATGGACAGTGACTGAATGATGTTACAAAGTTATCGGGTTTGGCTTATATTTAACAGTATACTTTTTCATCATGTACTAAACGTATAATTTTTATAAAATTTATGTTTTCCTCCAGGTGAACATACCATTAGAAATTATCCTGCAACCGTTCACGGCGCTTTTCTCAGTGGACTCAGAGAAGGAGGGAGGATTGCAGACCAGTTTCTGGGTTGTCCGTACGAACTTAAACCTGCGAACGTAGGCCATTATGACTGAACAGAAAAGTTTTATACGTTTAGCTTTGTCCCTTTTTTATCTTAGACTTTATTAGCTCACAGTGAAAATATTTCCCACTGCGGAATACCTTTTATTTTATCACATTACCTACATACCTGTTATTTATCATTTACTGATTGCGTGTAAAAACTGTATGTGAAAGTGAGTGCTGTATTTAAAATACTATTTGATGTAGGTAAATAAATTATTTTTTTTGCCACGAACACACTGGATGTATGGTCTTGAAGAAAAACCCGAATTCACTTGTTACTGCCAAGCTTTCGACCTACTTTACGGCCATCATCAGGGCAAATCAATCTTAAATATGTCTACATATTAACTTATTTAAGTTTATTACAGGCGATCTCCAATTTCTTTTAAGACCGACTCAGTCCCAACATTGCCTAGGACGAGTCGTATGATTTTGCCCAGGTCTTTTAATTATACAAACGATTCGATCTTTTTTGCATTAATATAAAATCTACAGCAGTATGTACAATCTTGATATTATGGTTTAAATAACGTACTGTAACGTAGTAACGGACCGCTGTTGGCTATAGAGACTCGTTGACACGTAGTGTAAAACAGCTTGCAAAAACATGTTTTTTTCTATAAGTTTCTGGCCGTTTATGGCTTTGGAACTTTGGAATTAATATAATTGCGAATTTTGCTTTTAAACTCTCTGGACATTCTGAGTTTCTCTGTTCACTGCGATTCAAGAATGGATGAAGAACATCAACAAAGGGATTTTGAGGTTAATCCCTTAAACGAACAAGATCTTACAGATGAGTGGCACAAAGTTTTTGGGAGAAAGCGACCTGGTCCACAAATTGCTAACAGGACCCGAGGAAAGTGCCGCGTATCCAAACTACTGTGAGTACTCCAATCCCTACAAGCAATCAATATCAAATATTTTCTGACACTGAAACCTCAAATAAAAATAGTACAGAAACAAAAGAATCGAAACCTCCACCGATTTACATTAAAAACGTAGTGGATGCTCATTCACTAACAAAAATTTTAGAAAACATAGGAGGCGTCAATTCCTTCATCATAAAAAACACTAACAATTCGTTAAAACTACTCGCAAACAAACCACATACATACAGAAAATTTATACAATTTTTGGAAAAAACTCAGACTGAATTTCATACGTATCAATTACAAGAAGAAAAAAATTACAGAATTGTATTAAAAGGTCTACACTTCTTTACCCCACAGGATTAATAGTTGAAGAATTAAGTAACAAAGGATACCAAGTAGTTAATTGCATTAACGCTCTATCACGGTTTAAACTACCATTGAACATGTTTTTTGTAGACATAGACCGAAACACATACAATGAAAAAATCTATGATATCTCGACGCTATTGTACACAAAAATAAAAATTGAAGAACCTTTCAGGCGAAGACAAATCGTGCAATGCACACGGTGCCAAGGCGTCCGACACACCAAATCTTATTGTAAGTATCTGCATCGGTGGGTTCGATGTGGAGACCAACACGAATCTGGATCTTGCGGAAAAAGCAGAGATACCAAAGCAACATGTGCAAACTGTGGAGGTGATCACCCTGCGAACTACAGAGGGTGCAATGCTTTCAAAGACCTACAGGCAAAACGTACAACAAGGACAACAAGGAAGGAAGAACAATAGTACATCGAAACCACCCCAACTAGACGACACTAATTTCCCGTCGCTTGTTCACAAGAAGAGCGAAGCCCTACCACTGCCAACATGGGTGAAGACTCAAAGAAGACCAACAGATAATCAGCGGTCTGAGGAAGCTACTAACACAACATCAGTTGGTATGCCGCCTGGTCTCCAACATTTTTTAACACAAATGAACGCACTCATCCATCCTCTTTTCAACATACTCAATCAAATCTCTCATATGACCCAAGCCCTCTGTTCACAATATGGTAATTAATACTCCTACAGTCGATCCATTATCAATTCTTTTATGGAATGCAAATGGCCTCTCACAACATAAAATGGAACTCGAACTTTTATTACACCGAGACCGCATCGATATTGTCTTGATCTCTGAAACAGACATGACATCCAAATCTCGTTTTTACATTACAGACTACACTGTACATAGGACTGACCACCCAGATGGCACGTCTCACGGTGGCACTGCTGTCATTATAAAATCTTCACTTTTACATTATGTCCTACCGTCTTACACAACACCACAATTTCAGAATACTTCCATTTCTCTACAATGCTTCAACAAGACAATTGTTTTTACAGCGGTGTATTTCCCACCCAGGCACTCCATTTCAAGTGACCAGTTTAAGGAGTTCTTCGGATTCCTGGGACCAACTTTCGTGGCTGGAGGGGTTACAACTCTAAACATATCCAGTGGGGCTCCCGTCTTTGCTCTCCGTGAGGTCGAGCTTTACGACGTGAAATGTTAAACTTACATTTACAATACATCACACCAAACACTCCCACATATCTACCAACATCAACCAAAAAATCTCCGGATCTACTGGATTTTTTTTTGTTTGTAAGGGAATAAATAATATTCCTTTTCACACAAACACCTCCACCGACTTATCATCTGACCATCTTCCTGTCTTTTTATCACTTCAATTAAAACCTTTTATTAAAAACAATCGTCCTACTCTAACTCCTGGACCAATGAATTGAAAAAAATTTCGTTCCTTGGTTGATGAAAAACTTTCCGTCCCAATTAGCCAAACACCAGGAGAACTAAAAAACGCGGTTGATCTATTTACAAAAACAATACAAAATGCAGCGTGGGAATCCTCACTGCCTCACACTCAAAAACAAAATCTTCCAAATTATCCTTTTTACATAAGGCAATTAATATCCGAAAAAAGAAGGGCTAGAAACCTTTGGCAACGTACTGGATTGACAAACAAAATTACAACAAACTTTTGAATACATTGAAAAAAGAAATAAAACAATTTAAACAACAATCATACGAAACACATTTAAAAAGCTTGTCAACAGAGGATGGGAGCCTCTGGCGTAGTACTAAACGTCGTATCCTGCGTCATAGCGTTGTCTCAACTCCTCTCAGGAATGATGGTGGAACTTGAATCGGTTCCGATAAAGAAAAGTCCAAAACATTTGCGAAACATCTCTCCGAGGTATTCAAACCTCATAATATAATGAATACTGAACACGATACATTTATATCAGATTCACTTGTAACACCTATACCCCTAGATTTGCCACCTAAACCAATAACTCCAAAACAAGTATCACCAGAAATACGACAGCTTCCTACAAAAAAATCACCTGGTCATGATTTGATAACAGCTGAAGTTCTTCAAGAACTTCCCAAAAACGCAGTCGTCTTTTTGACTTCTTTATTTAACGCAATTTTGAGGACTACACACTTCCCCTACAAACTTTCTTACATTAAAATGATCCCAAAGCCCCATACAAATTTAAGCTCCCCATCGTCTTATCGTCCTATTAGTTTGTTACCCGTTCCTTCTAAATTATTCGAAAAATTAATTTACAAAAGAATTATCTCTATTGCTACTTCGAACAACATCTTACCAGATCAATTTGGCTTTCGAGCCCATCATTCCACCACTCATCAACTTCACAGAGTGACTGATTTCATTCAGTAGAAACTGTACGCGACTGGAGTGTTTCTAGATGTTTCTCAGGCTTTCGACAAAGTGTGGCATGAGGAATTATTATACAAATTGAAATTATTTTTACCCCAGGCCTAGTATTTGATTATACAATCATAACTTAAGGAGAGATTTTTCGCAGTATACCAGGATACGGAGACTTCTGGGATAGAAGAAGTGCTTGCAGGTGTGCAACAAGGGTCAACACTCGCTCACACAATTTTTACTTCTGATATGCCCACAAATGAGAATACCCTCACCGCCACATACGCAGATGACATCGCCATATTAACAAGCCATCTCTCTTCTACACAAGCTTCACTCATGTTACAAAACCACATATCAACAATTGAAAAATGGAGCAATCTTTGGAAAATAAAGTTTAATCCCTCAAAGTCACAATATATCACCTTTACACTCCGTCGTGAGACTTGTCTTATATATTTATACAATGAACCTGTTCCCCAATCCGACAAAGTTAACTATTTAGGACTTACATTTGATAGAAGACTAACTTGGAATCCACACACACCATTAAAAAAACAGACACTGAACAAACGATTTAAAATTCTTTATTACCTACTCAACCGACAATCAAAATTACCATTAAAATCAAAACTTTCGACATACACACACCTACTCAAACCTATTTGGATGTACGGGTGCCAAGTATATGGATCGGCGAAGTGTTCCAATATTCAAAGATTATAAAGTTTTCAATCCAAAATTTTGAGACTAATTGTTTCTGCCCCTTTTTATGTAAGCAATAATACACTTCACAGAGATCTTCAAATCCCAACAGTTTTTTCATCCATAAAAACAGTTGTAGATACAAATAAATGAAGTAAAAAACATAATAACGTACTGTTGTAAATATTTATTAAATTCACTAGTTTTCGTGGTCTGCTTGACCAATTAATAGTTTTGAATTAATTAAGGTTTTTAGTTGAGATAAAAAATGTCAGCGTCACGAGCGGGATTCGAACCCACGACCTTCGGCTAGATACGCCGCTACACTTCCACGTGAGCTATCTTGACTTCGATCCACTCGGACACTTAACTTCCCATCTCAACCCCACCTTTTGAATTTTCCCTCCTTTCTGCCATTTTTCAAATGTGTAATCTATTTGATTATCGGCGACAAATGAAGTGGACACGGAGAGCTTTAGTGAAGATATACTTCATTTTAACTTATTAAATTCACTAGTTTTTGTGGTCCGCTTGACCAACTAATAGTTTTCAATTAATTAAGGTTTTTAGTTGAGATAAAAACCTTAATTAATTATTTATTATGAATGCTTCATTATCAGTATTATTTTTATATTTACTATTCCAGCCTACGCTGACTACTCAGGTAGGAAGAAAAATTACTCTTACAACTTTCATGAATTATTATGAATATTTAGTCCTTGAATTGTAGATATTGGATTCACCTAGCAAACGAGGTATTAAAAGAACTTGAATTATTTAATAATTGTTCAGGTGTATGTGTGATAGGTGTTTTTATAAAGAAAACCAAAGAAGGTAAATAAAAATAATAAACCAGCTCAACGCAAATCCGCGTCTGANTATATAATAATTTCTTAACTTTTTATGCAAATGTA